TATCAACTTCAACAGAAAATATTGTCATACATAGGTTTATATCGCACATAGCCAAAGTGTAATATAAATGGTGAAAAAGGAAAGATTTCAAACTTTTAAATTTAATAAAAGTTTTTTTTATCAACTTAGATTTGTAATGCAATTTATAAATATTTATCATATTTGACGGCATATGACCTCCTTCTCTCACACATAAATCATTTACATTTAATATTAGAGCAATATAGAGTTTGTTTAGATACAAAGTACTAGTAGCCTATGGCGATAAAATGGGAATGAAAAAGACACTTTTGCTTAGGATCAGGAAGAGTTGAAATTTCTGGGACACATAAGAAAAAGGGTTTGGAGAATTTGACACTCACATGACAAGAATAGCGGAGGTAAACAGTAAGTAACCATGCCTAATGAGTTTGTGTAAATAGATGGCAAAATATGAACATGGAGCGGTAGTAATGGGACAAACAATGCTTTCTGCTGCAAAAGATAGGAAGTTGTGGAGGGCCATGATCGTCCACATCCTGAAAGGACATGGCTCATAAAAAAAAGTCTGTGGATAAATGTTAATGAAGCAGATATTTCAATTTTGCTTACAAAATCTGGAGAATATTTTTTTGAGATAATTTTTAAGTCTCTTATATACCACCAAATATGGTAATACACATCAAATCAAAATCAAATTTATTCCTTCAATGTATTGTTATGGCATAGACATTGCTAAACTTGAATTGTTTTAGTCCATCATTTTGTGATCAAGTTAGAATTTACTGTTTAATTGGTTGATAGGCATCTTTAGTGATTTTAATGGTTGTCTATTACAATCAAAGGGAAACAAAATATTTAAAATCAAGACTTCTTTCATTTTGAGTTTTGAGTTAACTTATTTGGTACTGAACACAATCATTTCTGCATAAAGAACCTGCAGTTTGGTAAGGATTGATTGATGATAAAATCTAAGTGAATGAAAGTGCTGTCAATTTGAAAAATATTCAATGATTTTATAGACTCAAGAAATCAAATTAAAGTTAAAGAAGTTGTTATATAAAACCAATTATTTAGTCTCATTTTTTAAAGATGTATTTGTTAGAAACTTTTTAATGCCTTCCTCTTAATTATGATGAATTTTTGAGTAAGTGATTATAAAAAATTCAAGAGTAAACTGGCCTGCTGGACTTGACTATGATTAACACTTTTGAGACACCTGTAATTAAAACATCATTTATAAATTCTTTACTTCTATTTCTGACTCTATAAAAAAAGGGTTGCAAGTCAGCACATTTTTTTTTAATTTCAGCATATTTTTTTTTTGGTTGTTGAATTTTTGTTTCCAAATTTTTACTGTTGTGCTGAAGTTATCTTGTTTTTTTCATCCCACTCTAGGGCTTTTACAATTTTCAAACTTTTATAAAAAGGATGACCCAAGTGATTACTTGTTCTGTTATTGATAATAAACTGGGAAAAATGAGTTTGCTTTGATGTTTAATAATCTGAGACTATTTTTCTGTAACACTTTTTATAAATACTTTAATTCCCAACATATGCATAATGGGTGTTTATATATGCACACACACACACAGAACTGAACTGACATAATGGTTATAAACACAGAAAGTGGAATCAGCTATTTGAGTTTGAATCCTGGGTGAAGCTATTTGTTCATTTTGCACTAATACCATAGGATAGACATGAACCCACTTCTCCCTGTACTCTGTCCTGCTGCTTGATATTTTAACAAAATGCCTCATCACCTAAATTACATAATAATTGATGGAGAAAAGTGTAGACGGGCAGCAAGCACTCTCCCATAACTACTTTACCTTCACAGGTAGTTGTAAAAAAAAAAAAGAAATTAAAATTATATGCTGATATAATTCCTTTTCTGTTTACAAAATTTTTTAAATGATAATATATATTTATATTTGGGACCTATTTTATCATAGTTTTTTTTTCTTTTTACAACAAGAGAAAGAAAATATTTTCAATGTCTTAATTATTTTTCTCACCCTGTTGAAAAATAGACATCATAATTTTTCATTGTATTTATGTATATATTATATAAAAAAAAAATCTTAAAAATAAGTTTATTTATAAGTCTAAGTAAAAATAAGTTTATTTATAAGTCTAAGTAAAATTATAGCTACATAGATTTTTCTTTATTTTTGAACAGAAGTTTCAAAATATAATGAAGCAAAAATTATTTTTATTTTGCAAGTGGAGAAATGAGATTTGTAAATGGTGTGAATATTCTGTGTTCATCTGTGTGATATTAGAGAATTTGTCATTGAAAGGGTTAATAGATGCTATGGTGGCATGAACTTTTTGGTTACAGTGACCCACCTAGGCAAGAAAAACATGAAATCCAAATTAAAAACTTCACTTCGAGCAGAAGCATTCACTGATTAAAAATGTAGGAATTTTTGGCTCAAAACATCTACATGAGTCATATATTAACTTCTTTAATTAATTTTGACAGTTTTTTTTTATATAAAGGAATTAATAAATGGAGTTTCTGAAGAAAAAGATTATCTGGTTGTTGCTTCAAATAAATTTTCCTTGCCATTAAACCAAAATATACAAAAAGGAAATTGAAGAATGAAAAATATAATGAACTTAGATGTTTATGTGAAATAAAAAAAATTGTAAGTAGAGTTAAGATATCTGGCATATTGAAATTAAAATGGGTTATAAGCGGCTATATAAGTTTGTTTTTCTGATAATCATTAAAATAAAAGATTAAACTGTCCTTTATTTGTTCTTCATGCACAAGATTTTTATTAAGACAATTATAAATTTTAAAATGACAATTTTGGAAATGAAAAACAAAAACTGGAGAATTTTTATTCTTAATATTTTTATTAAAAGTTTTGCAAGTTTGTCTAAATAATTTTTTGTTCTCTTATATCATTAACTTAATGGTGAAAAAACAGCTTTTCTAAAATTGTTTTTACTGCTTTAAAGAACTCTTGCAATCCAGTTTTATTTTCGTTTGTCAGCATTTTTGCTTATTTTTCCAAAAATATTTTTAAGTGAACATGACAAATTTGTAACAACAATTACAGAAAGCAGAAAATATACTGGCTTTTAAAAATAGTGAGAAAAAAAGAAGTCATTGAGAACAATAAACATTTTTCAGAGAAAAGACACTTGGATTTTATCAGCACATAATTCATAAATAAATTTCTGTAATCACTTGTTGAGGGGATATTTACTTTTTGTCAAGTAAGACAATTTTAATTAATATTTCATGTTTTATTTGTAAGGTGATGGACTTTTGCATACTGCCATATGCTTGTATTCTTACACATTTAATTTCTAACACTTTGATATTAGCAAACAAAATATGATTGTTTGCATATTTCTAACCCATTAAAGATAAGTTCAAAAATTGAATTATAAATAATAACTAAATAGTAGAGTTTAATGACATAACCAGAATTTTAATGTTGTACAGCATGAAGAATTTTTTGATGCTCATAAAATCTTAACCCAAAAGAGAAAACAAATTTATTTAAAATATTTCAAACTGAAAATAAATTTTAACAAAAAGTGTATCTTTCAAACTGAATCTATCTAATTATCTTTTAAGTCGGTTATTTTTAGACTAAATAAATAAATAATAATAAAAAAAAAACTGTAGCAAATAAATTCGAAATTTTTAATGGTAAATTGAAGAAATTTGGTACCAATTAGAGAATTTATGTTTGGCAAAGTTAATTTTGTGACAAAGCAATACAAATAAATAAAAAATGGCAGCTCTTCAAATATTATTATTGATATTATTACATTGTTAATATTTTCATCATCGCCAAGTCAAGCAAGAAAGATTTCATAAAAGCCCAACAACCATTTGCATTTAGCGCTATTTATGCACCAAAACTGCAAAGAAAAGCAAAAGTAATTTTTGGTAGACGGTCACAGAAGAAGATCAAATATCTCTGATTACAGACTGAGAAAAAGATTCCAATTTATTACACAATTGGATAGAATTGAAAAAAAAGTATCTTTTTATTTAAAAAGAAAGAAAAAAATTGTTGGTGGGGTACACGTGGTGAAAGACCATAAAAATAATGTGTGTTGTTGAGGTATCCTATATTTAAAAAATAAATCAAATTGTAGTAAGTAACAAAGATCAAGGCAAAGTTGTGAAAATTAAATTTATCGATTGCTACACAATCTTACCAGAAAGCACAAAAACCGATTGATAATGAATGTTGTTAAGTTATTAAATAAGACTACTACATAATTGTCTTTAAATGGCAACAGTGATAAAAAGTGTGATGTAGGTGGGGTGGTGACAGTATCTAATAACATTTTCCACTTCTTAAGAATTGAAGATTAAACAACAATACATGTTTGTTATGATTGTAAGAGTTTAACAATTAAATAGTATAACACGCTTTTATGTTATAAAGAAAAATTAAATTGGAAAGCAGTCATCCTTTAACAAACTCAAAGAGAAGATATAACAACAAAATATTTACTAATATTTAGTTAAAAATACATGCGTTTTTTAAAGTTCAAACCTAAAATATGTTGGTGTCTTGTTTAGTTTTTTAAGTGTTGTGTTAAAAACGAGCAGACGTGACAAGAGGGAATAAAGCCGGTCAATCATGATTAAAGATAAAATAAAACTCAAATCAGTTATTTTAGTTAAATGTAAATGTGTCAATTTGTATTGAAGTGTAATCAATAAGTTCAACTTTAAACCATTTTTATAAAATATAACAGTGCGACTCGCAAATTTACACGTGTTCCTATATGCGTGTATGTTCGCGCGAATAAATAATTTGTTGGCCTCTTCGGCGTGATTGGGACATGATTTTTTTTTTTTTGTTTTCTTTCAATATGGGTAAAAGAAAGGGTGAAAAGAAGAAACTAAAGTGAACGAAAAGCGGGAACAAAATAAAAAAATAAAAAAATTGAAAGAAAACGCAAAATACAACGCACCAAATCATAAGAAATAATACGAGTAATTTACATTAATTCAAAAGGAAAACACTTACAAGAAGAGCTCATGCAGATTTATGATGCTGGAGTGAAATTTCTACCGGTGTGAAAAAAAGGAGAAATATTACAAATAAATCCGTATTATAGCGGTAAGGTTGTTGATGCAACAACAAGAAGAACCTACCGAGCAAGGTGCTCGCTCGCGTCGCATGCTGCTCTCCCTTCCTCCTTCTCCTTCCCTCTACACAAACGTACCCCCCCAATCAACTCCCGCTCTCTATTCACTCTCCTTCTGCTTGCTTCCTCCTACCCTGATCCGCACACAAATTTCTGCGCTCTCTCTATCTCTGATTTCATCTTATCTTTTTTTCTGCGGCCAAGAATCGCTTTGGTGCAGCCCACATCACAAGTTACGGACAAAAATCACTTAGCGCTGAAAAGAGCAGAATGTCGTTAAAGCCCTGGCCCGAGAAAGAAGAGAGTTCGATTCCATGTGGCAATTGTAGTGATTGCTATGTTTGTTTACAAAATCTTTCTGGGTTTCGCCGAAACAGATTCGTGCTGAGCTTAAAATACTCCTGCTACTGTACTAGAAACTCCGAACCCCAAATTACGAGAAGGTTTTACGAAGAAAGGTGACAAATAATGAAAGAAAAACGTTTTAGAGTTGGACCAATTTTAAAGAAGACCCCCCCCCAAAAAAAAATAACACTTTTTTCTTACAACGAACAATATCTTTTTTGTTGCTTTTTAAAACAAATCTGCAAACGAAACAGACAGAAACTAGCCCCGTCTCGGTTGGATTGATTCAAAAATAAGGCAGGAATTAAATTCAAATCAAGATGTAGATGATATATCCACTCATTATGTGCCTTTGATACTCATGAGTGGATGGACGAAATGAATGGACATGATTTATGCTCGACAAGCGCGTCGTCATTTTTTGATATCGTAGGAAATGTTTTGAAACTGAATATTGTTTAATAAACACCATAAAAATTAATTCTAAAAAGAAAAAAAAATTAACTGCTTAAAAATAGAAGTGAAAGTACTATCTGAAAGTAAGGATCTCGTTTCAGTTTTTATGGAGACCCCACTAAATCCCTAACGGAACCCAGGACAGGTAACAAGAAGCAGTTTCCAATAAAGTTTTTTTTTCTTTATCAATTAAAAATTCCTGTTTAAATTTATCCACGTTGCAAATAAATTATATATTTTTTAAAATGAAATCTTAGTGGTAGTTTGTGGAAAATGAATTATTAATTTGATTAATTTTTTTATTTTATTTATCATCTACTTTAGTTTAATTTAATGAAACGCCATTTTTGCCGCTTGACCACGCATATTTGTTTCAGGTATTTGAGAAAAATCTGAATGCAATATTATAGAGTGAGTAAATTGCATGATTTTTTTTTCTTTTCAATTTAAAACAGAGCCATGTCGGGTATATGGCAAAAAAAATTAATTTAATAATTGCTCTGTTAGTCTGTGTATATTGGCCTATCCATCCTCCTGGGTATGACGATAAACTACATCCGGCAGCAAGGCCTCTGGAGGTTTTGAGGAGTGTACGGTAGAATCATCTCTTAAATAATTGCCGTTGTTACCTGGTACCAGGTCCATCCTGACCCAGGGTGGTAGTATTTGTTAGGGTCCCAACTATGGGCAAATAGTTAACTCCCAAACTGGAAATTATAAATATTTAAAAATGCCAGCAATACATTTTCATAGTAAAAAAAATTACCAGCAATTCGGTTTTGTAAAAAAAAAAAATTAAAAAAACAATTACCAGCAATACTTTTTTGTGAAACAATTACTTAATGTCCCCAATAAAATTAAATTTCGGCATTAAATGACCCATAAGAATATATACCGCTAACAAACAAACAAATAAAAAAAATTGATCTATCGACGAGTAAGCAATGCAGAAAAATCTATCAATAGCTAAGAAGAAGCTTTCTTCCTTTCTTTATTTTCAAAATAAGATGAATGAAGAGAAGTCTTGGTTTGTTTTAGTTTTTAGTAGAACGAAGATCGTTGAACTTGAATTCGTTGTTGTTGCAGTTGTCACCACACATGTGTGTACCCGACGCCGGTGCTCTGTTGTACGGGGTTGGACAGAGTGGAGATGCCATTGATCACGGACATACGTTCCCGTTCGATGTTTTTGTTGTTTTATTACGATGATTGTTGTAGTAGAAATGAGATGCGCAAAAAGCAGTCGGCGGCAAGAACCAAGAAAACAGAATCAAATCCCATCGAGTAGTATAGAGTGTCTGTCAAGGCACTTACGTTGAAATCTGGGTCACCCACTTCTGAGCGAATTAACCCTCCCCTAGAAAGTGGCAGAGGTCACATGTTACAATGAAAAAACACACACACAAAAAACAAAAAAAAAAAAAAAAACCCAACAAAATACACTTAATTGGACTAGTCTGGTCTGATGAGGCGACCAAAAAATCAAGTCAAAGATGTGAAACATTTCATAGCATTTTTTATTTTTTTCCGAATGATTTTATTAAACATTCCTGTGATAAAAATTCATCACTGATTGGGTTTTTATGAAAGCCCCAATTTTATTTTTTAGATCCGAAAGCGAGTGAGATTAACAAAAAGAAAGAAAGAAAGGAGAGAGAGAGAGAGAGAGAGAGAGCAAGAGGGACCTCCTACCACCATCACCCGTAATAATTAGAAATGTCACGATAGGTAAGGGAAGTGGATAAAATTTCAGATTGTTAGCGCAGCAACTTAAACTTTTTATCGTTAAATATTTGACACAAATAATTTGTGCGTATTTTGTACATTTGTGTCTGAGAGAGTCAGCAATAGGATATCAATATTGTATTCAGTTTAAGTTTATCGGCTAAGAAAAAGGAATATTTTTCTTCGATCCACAAATCGATAAATTCAAGACGAAAAAGATGTTGAATAAAAAGTTAAAATTTTTCGATGAAAGTTATTAAATTTAATTAGAAAAAGTATTGAATTTTAAAAATTAAATTTTCCAAACTGCTGTTTGGAAACGATATGGAAAAACTATTCCCATATCAAGTCGTAAAAAAAAGGTTGTAAGCGAAAAAAAAAAAAAAAAAAAAATTGTTGCAATAAATTTCTGGAAATAAAATTGGCTGAATTTTCAGAATTAGTGACAATGGGCAACCAGATTTTTTTTTTTTTTTTACTTCGAAAAATATCGCAAAAAGAATTTTTTTTTACCACCTTTAACAACTGTTAGTTAGCATTCCTGATCATGAAGATTAATTGAAATATAAGAATTTGTGTTTAAATTTTAAATTGATCAAAATGACACAATTCAACAAATGCAATAAATGTTGGATACAAATACATCTTCACAAATTAAAGAGGACTAGGTTGTTGGAATTTATACAATTTTATTCCTAAAAAAAATCATTAATAAATAGTTGTTTTTTTTTCCAAGTGATTTATTTGCTTATGAAAGTTACAGGTTATTGTTAATGTTAACTAATGCTCATTTATTCCGTTTATTTTCTTTAAAGAAACTAAAATGTACAAGGAAGGAATGACTAGAATTTTCCTTATAGACGTACCAAGAGAGTGTAAAAAAGGCAATTTGAAAATATGTGTATCTTTCACTTAAATAAATTTATTTTTACTATGTAATTTTTTGTTATAAACGTGTTTAAAAATAAAAAAAGACAAACGCGTGGGGTAGAAAAGCGGTTGATATGGGGATCAAGTTTTAAACTGTAAATATTTGGGCAAAATAAATGTTTTCATAATTAAGTTGAAAGTCGACTAAAATAACTGGAGAAATTAAGCACAGTTTATTCATTCGTAAGCATACTAATATTATTGTAACTATAGAGTGTGTTAGCTAAGTGAGAACGAATTAAAAAAAACAATGATATTCAATAGGAAAGAAAAATCGGTATATTAAAAGATTGTGTGCATGTTCGATTTAGACCCCCCCCCCCCGCAAAAAAGAAGAAAAAACGGTTATTCTACAAAATCGCCTTCAGCCTCAATGCGGTCTCGGAAGCGACTGTATGCCTAGATCAAGAGGTCCTCACTCATGTTGACCATCACATCAATGTTCTTTAACGAATCCTTGGTATTGTACGGCCGCTGATTGATATCCTCCCTATCCGATGATGCCTCAGACGCATTAGTTCAGAGCTTTCAAATCAGGAGAGTCATGAAATCACGTGTTAAGCGTGACATGATGAATAAACTTCTGGGTCATGTGGGACATTTGGAACCTTACTAGAACACGCACGCCCACACCCACGATCCAGAGGTTGGCCACGGTGTCCAGCATCTCGATGTAAGCGATAGAACTGAAGTTGAAGCCCTGCAGAAAGAATAGGGCATGACATCCCTCTCGTTGCCCCCCCCCCCCGGACAATGACAATGTGAATTTTGTGTGCATCACCATGGGTATTTCTATGGAATGTCCACAGAACTATCAGCCCTTTCTCATATTCACCTGACAGATTTCAAAGAAGCTGGCTACATCCAAGTCGCTGGCGGCCAGTGCACTGCATGCTTTTTTTTTTCATTTATTGTATCAGATTCGAAGCTGCCATGTTAAAGCTCCTGATACGTTTGATATTGAAATGATAATGCTAAAATTAGGTACTCTTCCATTTATAGACCACTAAAGGAGTGTTTTTCGCCTCTCTCTCTCTCTCTATATATATATATATATATATATATATATATATATATATATATATAGAGAGAGAGAGAGAGAGAGAGAGTCCTAAGGGACGAAAGGCGTCACACGAAATCTTTTTTTCACTTTGTCATACATTTTCCTTCCAAAACTATTCTTGATATATGAAAATGTATATACAGTGGAGTTGAATAAGTGATCGTACAGCAAACAGATGCTTATTATTCTTACTTATAGTAAATGAAACATATATAACATTGTTATTCGAGGTTATTTTGGGGCATAGAATCAGAATCTGCAATTTAAAATTAGAAATTCATCAATAAGTGATAGTTATGCAAATTTTTATATTTTGAATAGTGGAAAAAGTGTTCGTACAGTATCAATTTTTGCATTATAATACGGTAGATTT